CTTAACCCCTTGTGCCACTAAGGAGGGCCCTTATTACACATTCTTATAATGAGATTTTCATGGTGTTAGATAAATGAGGTACAACTGTAGGGTTATTTACACAGCCGAGAGCCAAGGTTAAAAGAGGCTTGTAAGCAATCCAAACAGCTGTTGCTAAGATCAAATAGTAAAGCAGTGTTCCAACCTAACTTACACATTCCCCTGGTTTTCTGACCCCCAGAGCAGATCAGACACAGGAAGTTAGAAGGAGAGCAGATTACTAAAAGACAAGAACAATAGTCACTTATTACCATAGTAATACAGGAGAGAGAAAAGGTGTAAAAAGCAGTACCACACAGCTTGGTATCTTGAAAGTCATTACTTCCAAGAGTGGCTACAAGAGCAGCTATTTATAATCATGACTAAATGAGCAAGAAAAACCTTTATAACATCAAAGAAGTTTTCGAATATAGTGTCTTTTCATATTTTAAGCTTTCAAAATTTAGTTTTATTATTGGGACAATTTATGAATATGGAGCATTTTGTTTCAGGGTATTATGTGTATGAAAACTTTACTAAAGCAATATATGTACAGGAAAATATTAGCCTATCAGTGAAGGCCTTTATTGGAAGTCTCTGTTGATTATCTGTGTGGTAAAGTAGTAACAAAATGTTCTTGAATATCTAAGCTGACTTCCTGAAAATGCTATTAGTAAAGGAATTTAAGTTGTACTTTTTATCAAAATGTTCTTAATGAAAACATTGCAACCAGCAAGTGATAACAGACTAGGTATAGAAAAAAAAAGAGCTTATTAAATAAAGTAGGAAAAATGAAATGAGGAAAAAGTAAGAAGAGACCAGATTTTTAAAACAAATTTATTTATTTATGCATATAGAACTGGGGTACAGGCCAGAGGTGCAGGGGAGGTTAGAGGATTTGCTAGAGAGCAAGGAGCAGAACAGGCAGATTGAGGAAGTACACTGTTGAGGGGAGCAGCAGGAGATGCAACAGGTCTGCTGTGCCATGTGGGTCACCTCCCTGGCTGGGGATTGAATTTGTGCTGAAGCGTCCATGGCCAGTGTGGCAGTGCTGTGCCTTAAACCGTTTCACTACTAAGGACAACCCAAGACCAGAATTTTTAAAGATACAAGTGAGGGATAAATGAAAACAGGAGGCTGAACAAAAGTTCCAGAAAAAAACAAGTGTGACAAGTGCTGAGCTACGGGGATGGGCCCGATTCTATTTCTGAAAAATGTTGAACTCCGGACTATATATGAAGTTTTGTAGAACAATAATTCTTGCTTAAGCAGAGGGTACTGGACATGATCTGGCTGTCTCCTTACTTTGTATAATGTAGTTATGTTCAGTGTTAAACAACAACTAGAAGTTTTCTTGGTATCCAATATGAATTATTACTAGTAGCATGTAAAAATGCAGGATTTTTGGGTCCTCCCTGGTGCAACAGGTTAAAACACAGCACTATGAAGCTATCACAGCCACTGCAGCATGAGTTAAATCCCTGGCCAGGGAGGTGACCCACATGGCCCAGCAGAACTCTCCTGACCTGCCAACTGCTCCTCTCAGCAGTGTATTTCAGTACATCTGCCTATTCTGCTCCCCACTCTGACTCAGGTGAGTCCTCTCACACCACGCACCTCTGGTCTATACCCCAGTTCTATATGCATAAATTAATAAATATATTTTTTTAAATCTAGGCTTTTCCAGAAAGAAAAGGAAAAATACCGAATGGTTTCACTCATAGCAGGAGTATAATGGATGAGGCAAGAAAACAACAACAATAATAATAATGGACAGTATATAGAGAGACATTTTATGGGGGTGGAGTGGGGAATGAGATCAAAAACAGTGGGGGGAGGGAACTGCACTGGACTTTGGTGATGGCACATGGGTGACTTGGTGATGAGAAGCCCAAGGGGAGTACAACTGAGATGGAAAAATGCACAAAATGATGGAAAAATAAACATTGGGAAAAAAAACAAAACAAAACCTAGGCTTCTTCTCATCTAGCTACAGCTACGTCTATACAATCCACTATGTTCCTAAACAAGGCTATAAACTCCTTGATCTAGGACTGTTTCTCCTAACAAAGGACCTTTATTTTGGCCATTTTTCTTTTTGAACCCCATCTCATAATTGAGCAGCTTTTAGTTCGACTTTATTTTTCCTCCTTGTCACTCCTGTTTACATGTTTGCTGGTGATGTAAACTGCTTCCAAGGATAGGAAGTGACAGCACCAAATGCCACATCACAGCACTGGTGACCTACCATACACCATGCCCTGCTTCCCAGGCCTGGTGAATGTAAACCTTACAAGAAGAGCCCTGCTTTTTATTTTTATATGTGCCCAAAGATATCCAGAATAATTACAAGTATATTCTCCTTCATTAACTTAGGGGTTTTTTCCCTTCCTACAACTATATTACATTGAAACACCTACTATTCTCTAATTTAAACCCATGTCAACATATAATTCACCCACTTTTTCCTGGATAGAAAACTTTCTTAACCTTCTTTCTATTCCTTCTCTCCCTCTTTCCACTTCCCATCAATTACTTATGCAATTTCTAAACTGTCTTAATGTCATGTTTCTCCTAAAAACAAATCACCCATTAAACCTTTTAACTCAGTTGTTCTTGGCCATTTTCTGTCCAGCTTATCAGTGGGGACCTATTTCTGCTCACTAATGACAAAAATAAATAAATAAAAAATGGAGGTTGGCAGGTTTATTTGACAGAGTAGCTCCTGTCAAGTAGGCTCCATTTGGCTGAGAAATGCTGCTATAACAAACTTCTAAAAGGTTAGTTTGTAGCTGATAAGGATAAAAAATTCACAGCAGAAATTAGACAGTATAACAAATTACTTCAGTATATGGTTCTTACTTATAGAGATAGACATATATTCATGGCGTGGGAAAACAAAGATTTTCTGTCTCAAATTTTATATTCTAAGGATGTCTAAAGTACTCTAAAATAACTCTATAGCAGTTCAAAACAATACTGTTGAGTTCTCGAGTGATTATCAGGATTAAAAAATATATATTTTTAATACATAGAAAGGCAATTTTCTTAATTGCCCAAAAGAAATGAAATATACATCCTAACTTGGAGATGCTCTGCATTAAGCTAGTAGTCTGGGCTAAAGAGCGATAATGCAGATCAAAGAACAGGCAGTTTTCAGAATGGCCACAATATAGAGGCTCCTATGCCCAGCTGGAAGTGGGAAAAAAGAGCTGAGCTGCAAGCAGCCTGTGGTTCTGAGGGTTGGGGCCCAGACTAGCAGCAGGAACTAAGAGCCTCCTGGGAGGAAAGTTACTCAAAACCTCCATCCTCACTGCATGGTTTGTGTGTCAACCTTTGCTCTGATACATGCAACGGTATTTGGATAATACTCTAAGGTAAGGACTTTTAGACTTAGTTAAGCTGCTGAGTGATGGAGGGAACTCTAAGCTGTATGCAGGGGACAACGAATCTACTCAAGCACTAGTTCTGGGTTCCTCAAGGGAGCTTCTACACACTGCCCTACTGGCAGAAGCAAGAGAAAAAGGATGAAGGGTAAGTAACTGCAAACTTAGGAATCTGATCTAACAACAGGAATATGAAGTCAAGTATTTTCAAGTGTCTCAAGAAACTGAAAAGACTATTAACATGCTATGATGCATTCCAGACATAACACAGTTTCAAACTTAACAGTATATGGGAAAAGGGGTGTGGTCCACAGAACTGATTTTTGAAACATGAAAAATAAAAGATGTTAATGCAAGAATAGTGGGAAAGAGAATTATTCAAGATTTTCTTATACTTTGTATGCATTTTAAAAAGTAGAAAAACAAAGCAAATTACTTCATAGAGTACTATGCTCTTCTAACAGAGTTATTTTTTTCAGTTTGATAGGAATTAAAGCCTCTCCATTAAAAATAAAAGAATGAAAGCTGCATATTCACTACCTCTTGCTGTGGAAGACAATTTTAGGCCTACTAAATTATTTAAGAGTAAGAGAACATCACTATAGTCAATCAGAATGCACTCATTTCTAATTTGCATCATTCGCAATTTGCACGTACAGAGCACTGGTAAACACTATTCTAGCTGCTATTAAATTTCTTCATAACAAAAAACACTTCTTACTTTAGTGGAACTTTCAGTTAAATACACTGTTAAAAACATTTTTCTTGACTGCAGGATAAGAGATTAAACAGGAAGGTGAAATCCATTCTCTCTCCAGGAAATTCTTAAGGGGAATAAATGGTATTTTAAATCAAATGATAAACATGTAGGAGTGTTTAAAGACCACAGTCTGCAAATCTATCTTCCATATCTTTTAGAGCCCTGTTTGGTGGGGAAGTTAGGAAAGTCAGTATGATTTACACAATGAACAGCCTGATACTTCTCTTTGAAAGTTAATACCAAAAATTGAGAATACTAGACAGGAAGGGGAAAGGTGATGAGTAAAGGGGGAAGAGGTGCAATGGGCCACAGTGGACAACTATGTGTGCCATGGGGATGGGTGTGGCATGGTAACACACAGTTAAGAGGTGTGAACCTAGACCTCTAAACCAGTGTTGTAAACCAATGTTACCTCCATTTAAAAAAAGTCAATCCCACTATTTTGAGAAAAGTTCAATCTATTGAAGAAAACATTTTGTCTAGCTAAAGTATTTCCCAATAAAATTAGGCATCTTATAAAATTTCTTTTCTAACATAGAAATGAGATTAAAGAAATGAAAAAAAAAAAGAAGATAAAAGTTGTGTCCTTTTGCAGTAGGGCTGAAAACAGATGAAAGAGTGGCCACGAATGTGCTGCAGTGGCATTCAGTAAACTACTGCCATGTACCAGAAACATAACAATTCAAGAGCTTTCTTACACAATTTTCTTTCCCTAAGAAATTCTTCTAGATTTTACAAAACAGGTCTCAGCACAGGAAAAGAGACTGTCAGGAGTCATCAACTCTGGTACCTTCAAACACCTGTTAGTTCCAGAGTGCTTATGTCTCCACACTCACCTCATCATCACTGTCAGACGTTTCAGAGTCTGAAGAGGCTGCAGGCTGACTCACAGGGGGCTCCTTCTCCTCAGAATCACTACGCTTCCGCTTTGCCAGGGACAAGAGCTCCTGATAGGGCAGAAGTAGTCGCATGAGTTTTATTCAACAGAGAAAAAATGTGCAAGAATAAAATGCCTACACCCCACCCCTTAGATCTCTTCTACTTTTCTATGCTTTGAATTGATAGGAAATGTATGTTTGAAAAGGAACAGATTAGAAAACTGAGCTGGAGGCTACTCCCAAGTTGTCACTATCTCCTCTATAAGCTACAGAATGACTGCCTTTATATATATATTACAACAGTTTATTTTTACATCATTTTGTACATTTTTTTTCCCATCTCAATTGTAATCCCCGCGGGTTTCCCATCACCAAGTCACCCATGTGCCATCACCATAATCCCGTGCACTTCCCTCCCCACCCCACCCCCGTTTTTGATCCCATTCCCTACTCCATCCCCGCAAAATGAGAATGACTGTCTTTTTAAAGAAAAGACATACATACAAGAACTGTGGGAGAGGCCAGAGGTGCAGGGGGTGGTGGAGGGGAGGATTAACCAGAGACAAAGCGGGGAGCAGAACAGGTGATCTACTGAAATACACTGCTGAGGGGGAGCAGCAAGACATTCAGGAGAGGCTTGCTACACCCTGTGTGGGCCAGCTCCCCAGCTGTGGACTAAACTCAGGTTAGTGGTGACAGTGCTGAGACTTAACTCCTAAGCCACCAGGGAGGCCCTTCTGAAGTCATTTTTAAATGCTTAAACCAGGAAAAAAAACAACCCATATTTTAGTATTTAATACAGGGTTGGGCAACAAGCAGTAAGTGTGCTAGCCATTACATCAAAAAAAATTGACAACTCAATATTCCCATTCAGAAACTGCTTTGCACTGGTGGTAATATAAGTGAGGTGAGAGAGGAAGGGATGTGGCATTAAGTCACTGACAATCAGAGTTTGCTCTCTCAAGTGGTTCCTCTCTCCTGTTACTTCTTTGCAGCTCTCTCCAATCACTAGATGGCAACAAAAGGATACTTTCCCTGTTCTCCCTCTCTGCTAATCCTGTGCAATGATACTAGATGCCAGACACTTTCCTAAGTATCTAATATTTCATATTAAACTTAAAACAAATGTTATTTATTTACACATATGAGAACTGGGGTGTAGCCAGAAGTGCGCAGAGACAGAGGATTCACCAGAGGCAGAGTGGAGAGTACAACAGGCAGATCTATTGAGATACACTGCTGAGGGGAACAGGGGGCAAGACAGGAATGTCTGCTGTGCTATGTGAGTCAGTTCCCTGGCAGAGGACTGAACTCCTTCTTATTGCAGTTGCTGGCAAGAGCTTGATTGTGCTGTGTCTTTAACCCCTGTGCCACCAGGGAGGCCCTTAAAGTAAACTTTAAGGTAAACCAGAACAACCTAAGTATCATTATCATCCCACTATACAACATTATGCATGTACAAATACACGCATAAATAAACACTACATTAACAACAGTATGGACATATCAAAGATAAAGAAACTAAGGGTCAGGAGAGGTTAAGTAACTTACCCAAGGGAACACAGCTAGTACATGGTAGAGTCAGAATTCAAACCAGAGCAGATGGAATCCTAGCTCCTAATTAAGTCACGGTTAACTAGTCTAAAACATTTTTCCCTTCTGCCAAAAGAGAAAAATACAACCGATAAATACCAGTGGTATTATTCCTTGATGATGATGGTGCTGTACAATTATAGGTCAAGTGCCAAGATAGATTTCAAAATAATATATTGCTACAAAGAATCTGTTTTCTTCTTCCAGTCTCTTTCTATTTTAGTATACCCTCCTTGGCTGGAATGAGAAAATGACCTTCTCAGATTAACAGCTGACACACTCTCTTCTTTATAAGTTATGAAATGTTACTCTTCTCATTTCATTAGAGAAAGCTAGCATACCAACTTCCAGAAAATGCTGAATATCATAAGAACGCTCTACTTTTTCATATCAAAATGGCAATTCCTATAGGACAATGCAAATTATAGCAATACGGTTTTTAGAACTTTGTTGTAACTTACAGTAATTTTATCCTTTCTTATGTAAAGTTCTCGGAGTCTGACAAATATACAGTTTTATCACTCCCACAACCAAGACATAGGAAAATTTCATCATCCATCCAAATTCTCTATTCTCTTCATATCCCTCCCACCATCCCATGGCAACCATAGACCATTTTCTGTTCCTGAAGATCTGCCTATTGTAGAATATCATATAAGTGGAATCATACAGTATGTGATCTTTTCAGTCTGGCTTCTTGGCATAATGCATTTGTGATTCATCCACATGTAGCATGTGTCAGTAGTTTATTCCCTTTATTGTTAAGTAGTAATTCGCTCACTGTATGGGTACATCACATTTTGTTTATCCATTTACAAGTTGAGAAGCATGTGGGTTATTTCCATTTCGGAGCTATCATATGTTCATGTGTAGGTTTTGTAGATACAAGATGTTATTTTCTTGGGTAAATGTATAGGAGTGGGATTGCTAGGCGATATGGTAATTTGTATGTGGTCTTTATTACCCTTTTTTCCCTATTACCTTAGTGCAAATTTATAAAATTTACTACTACTTCTGTAGGTAATCTCTTTTCTAACCTGTTGAGGTTCACAAATACTCTAGAATTCTGTTTTAAGGCCAACTCATTATAATAGGGATATGGATATGCTATCAATCAAATTCTCTCCTGAAACATTATTACTTGCAAGACATTAAAAATTACTGTAACTAAAAAAGTTAGTTATGCCTTCCTATTAAAGAGGTCCTATTCTATACCAAAAACCTAACAAATACCTCTCCATAAACAACTGCATCTAATTGGTACAGACTCTCATCTATGATATTAAACACTACATTAACAGTATGGACATATCAAAATCTTCTTCACAGTGAAACATCCTTTCTATAAGTTCAGGAAGTTACTGATGGCAAGGTCTCTCTTTATAATTAAGTGTTTTATAGTCAATCAAGGGCTGATAAGTATGGAGGAACAGACCAAACTACAATGGGAAGGTTTTTCCAACACTGCAAATATGAAGAGACCCTATCAGATTTGGTTACCTAGGGGAGTTGAGTTATCCAACAGCTATACTGAAAAAAGTCAGTCTGAAACGAATTTATGCAGGAGGTAGGTCTATCTGTAGCTCTCTCCTGTCTGTCTACTTCCTTATATTGCACTGGTTGAGATAATATTGCTGTGAGTCTAGTGGTTCTCTCATCATCCCTGCATTTCATCTCATCCAGAAAAACTGTGTCTACTTATCCTGACATTCCTCTTGGGGAACAGCAGTGTGGGATGCCAGCATGTTATATCAAATTTAAGCTAACTAAAGATCTGCCTAAATTATGTCAATGTTTAACATACTACAGATATGATGGTGTAGGATACCAAATCTAGCTTCTAGAGCAGTTATGGACTAATGCGACTGGAGCTTAGCAAGCCAGGAGGGAGAATGCAATGAGATGGGTCAGATGCAAGAAGAAACCAGACCATTTCAAGGTTTATAAACCAGAATCAAATGCACAGATTTTATCTGAGGGCAGTGCAGGGAGCAGCAAATGATTTTAAGCAGGGAAGTAAACCTCCTCCCCATCATTCCAAGGCTTTTGTTTTTTTTAAAGATTTTTTATTTTAATTTATGCATATAGGCCCTCCCTGATGGTGCAGCGGGTTAAAGCACAGCACTAAGAAGCTAAAGCCACTTCCACATGAGTTTCATCCCCGCCTGCCCTGGAGGTGACCACATGGCGTGGCAGGCCTCTCCTGACCGGCCCGCTGCTCCCCTCAGTAGTGTACTTCGTCAGTTGGTCTGTTCTGCTCCTCACTCTGCCTCTGGTGAATCCACTCACCACCCCTGCATTTCTGGCCTGTACCCCAGTTATATATGCACAAATAAAATAAATCTTTAAAACAAATTATGCATATAAGAGCTGGGGTGTAGGGCAGAGGTGTGGAGGAGTGAGAAGATTCATCAGAGACAGAGTGGGAATTAAAATAGACAGATCGACTGAAATACACTACTGAGGGAAGTAGGGGGTGAGACAGGAGAGGTCTGCCACGCCATGTGGGTTACCTCACTGGCCCGGGATGGAACTAGTGCTGTAGTGGCTACAGATCGCTTCATAATGCTGAGACTTAACCCCTGACACCACCAAGGAAGCCTCAATGTCCCTTATTTGTAAGTAATCCTACGATAACCAGAAAAATTTGGTATCTTTCCAAATGGATGTGCCAACTAGCATTTGCTTATCAAAAAAAATTTTTTATAAAGTGCCTATTCTGTATCACAGACATTATTTTCAATTAACTACTGGATGTCTTCACTTGGATATCTCATACACTATTTTAAACTCTACATATCCAAAACTGAATTTATGATCTTTACCTTTATAACTGATCTTCCTTCAGGGATCTGTGTCATACCAGAACCTCCTCCTTCTTAGCCCAACATCCAATCAGTCATCCCATCCTCTCAGACTTATATCCTGAATATCATGTCAAACTGAAGCTGCTTCCTGTGGTCTCCATAACCACCTGTGAGTCCTATATTCAATATTGACCAGGTGCATACCAGGCACTATTCTAGGTGCAGGGAAATTACAGTGAACAGGTAGTCCTTCCCATCTGAGCTACCACTCCAGGGAATCTTATGCTCTCTGTCTCCTTTTGTCTGGATTACTTCATCTGCCACCTAACTGACGTCCCCTCTCCAGATTACTCTCCACATAGCAGCCTGGGCAAATTAAAAAAAAAAAAAAAAGATTTATTTATTTATGCATACAGAACTGAGGTAAAGGCCAGATGTGCAGGGGCAGTGAGAGGATTCACTAGAAACAGAGTGGGGAGCAGAAAAGGCGGACTGACAAAGTACACTGCTGAGGGGAGCAGCTGGCCAGACAGGAAAGGTCTGCTGCGCCATATGGGTCACTTCCCTGGCTGGGGACTGAACTCATGCTGAAGTGGCTGGGGCTAGCTTTGTAGTGCTGTGTTTTAACCCACTGTACCACAATGGATGGCCCGTGGGCAAATTTTTTAA